GAAATTATTTTAGATGGACTTCAACTAGACTACATGTACAAGAGCTATATACTATTATATATTATTATATATATAATTTAAATAATTTAGAACATTGAGCCTATTTCAAATGAATAGAATATGAACACGACTATATAATAATTTTTGAAATTAGTACACACAAGCCTTGCTTCCTTTTCCAGGCTCCTCACTGCAGAATGGAGGGCAAAGCTCAGCCACTTTGCCTCCATAAATCAGTAGCCTCCGCCGCCGCAACCGCCGCCGCTGCACTACTAATCTTCTTCCTTCTCCTCACAGGCTCTCAACCCTCCCATTCCACTTACCACTCCCTCTTTCTCTCCCTCTCCTCCAACCACACGATCGCCCAGCATCTACATGCCCTCACCTCCCGCCCCCACGTCGCCGGATCCGACTCCAACACCATCGTCTCCGCTTACATCCTCAAAACCCTAACCTCCGCCTCCATCCCCACTCGCATTGTCCCCTACAACGTCCTACTCTCCTACCCCATTCACCGCTCTCTCTCTCTTTTCCCCAATACCTCCTCCCCGCCCATCAATCTCAATCTCTCCCAAGAAATTTACTCCGGCGATCCCTTCGCCGACGTGGCCTCCGAGGTTCTACCGACATTCCACGCCTACTCCCACTCCGGCACCGCCGTCGGCAGCGTCGTCTATGCTAACTACGGACGCGTCGAGGACTTCGCTAAACTTAAAGCTATGGGAGTGGACGTCGCCGGAAACCTAGTTCTCGCAAGGAACGGCATTGTTTACCGCGGAGACATCGTGAGGAACGCGCAGATTGCTGGTGCGGTGGCTGCGATACTATACAACGATGCTGAATACAATGGCGGGCGAAGGGCGAAGTGCTTTCCGGAGGCGAAGTGGATGCCGCCCAGCGGCGTGGAGGTGGGGAGTGTTTATCGCGGTGCCGGGGATCCGACGACTCCGGGGTGGGCTAGTGTTGGGGAGTGCGAGCGGCTGAGTGTTGAAGAGGTGGTGGCGAGTGGGGTGATGCCCGCGATCCCATCGCTTCCGGTGTCGATAAGGGATGGGGAAGCGATTTTGAGGACGATTGGCGGCCAGGTGGCGCCGGAGGAGTGGCAGGGCGGGAAGGGGGCTCCAGTTTACCGCGTTGGTCCGGGGCCGGGATCAGTCAACCTTACCTTCTTGGTCAGATTTGAATTCTAACTAACATTTC